ATTACTTTTATTTAAAATAAATAAAGGTTTTATTCTGTAAATTGGTTTGATGAGAAATTATCGTTGTATGTAATAACACATAAAATACACATCATTTTACTGCATGTAAAATGAAGGCAACTTTCTTTTTTTTGTTGCAGTAAAACCTTAAATTTAATGTAACAAAATGTAAAAAAACAAAAAATAACTGTATTCTGTACTGTTGTAGAATAAAAAGAAATCTTATTATAAAACATCTCTAAAATGTTAAATAAATGTATACATCTTCACAAAAAATGTAATATATTGCAGAAATACCCAAAAATGATTTTGTGTAAATAAAGTAGTTTTCATAGTATACTAAAATAGTTAACTGTAAAAAATAACTGTCAAATAAAAAAAACGTAAAATGTATGTAAAAAGCTACGGCACTTGAAATGGAATCCAGCCATACAACGGCAGACAAGACAAGCAGGATTGGAATGAGTCCACAACACTCCTGATTGGTTGAGATAAACGTCATCGGAAAAACCTGCCAATGAGCACTGTCCGTCGCGCCTTTCAATCCAATTTGAAACTTCCAAGTCAGTTTGAGCGGCTCTCCTGCGGAACTACAGCTGTCTGTATGTCTGCTCACGAGTTTATGGACTAATATCGGGATAGTTTTACATCTACACGTTAAATATGGGCATCGGGACGTCAACAGAGAACAGAAGACTTGAGATCTGGTGAGTCCTGCAACTGTAATGGAGTTAAACATGTATTTAGATAATCCTTAGTTTGTGAATGTTTAATTGTGTATTTAAGGTTACATTTCTTCTTCTAGTTCAGTGAGTTTTGAGTGATGAGACATATATTTTAAGGGAATCTGTGGAATCTCAGCTTTCATATGATACGTTTGTGCAGATAGCATGAAGTAAAAAAGATCGCTTTTGCCAGTTATGTGCTAAAGTAGCGTTAACCCCGTTAGCTGTTAGACTTGTGTTTCGTTTAGTTAAAAATGGTTAATCTCGTCAGTTAGCTGAGTTTCTTCCCGTTAAGTGGGTAAGCATCATTAATTGGTTGTTACATTTTAAGAAGTCCTGAGATGCTGTTTCTTGCAAGATGTGCAATCGGGCTATACAGGTTAACAAGGTGGCTGCTAACGTTAGCTTACAGTTTACAGCTTATTGCAGTGCTGCCGCGCCACCCTCTCGTCTCCAACGCGGGACGATTACACATAAACGTGCAGCAGGGTGTCACAGTGTTGTCGCAGAACTGCGGAATCCAGTTTGTTAATGTTCAGTAGCCAACAGCTATCATAGCATAAACTGCTAACCACTAACGTTTGGCTAACTTAGTTAATGTCACACTGTCTAAACTAAAATAGTTGTTGTATTACTACATCATACATGCTTGGTCCAAATCTCTGCTAAAATTATTATTTAACAAAATTATCATTAAAGTATCTTATTTTTTTGCATTTGTATCACACTTGTACGGTGGCCGGCAGGTGCAAACGCTAAACAACGGCCAAAAACACACACATAAGCAGGAAACACCTGCAAATAATGAAATGAAAAACCAACAAACCCTGAAAACACATACAACAGAAAAACGCTGCATTTACAGAAATGATGCAAGCTAAACCTACAACAGACAAACCCTGAAAACAAACACAACAGAAAAACGCTGCAAATACAAAAACGATATGCAAAGTCAAAAGCACATACAATCGAATAACACGTTACAAAAAAAAAACATTCCGGAAGTGCTTCAGGCCTCTAGGGGGCGCGCTACGTGGAACAGATTGATGTATGACCAGACATAGAGAGAACGAACAAGAGGAAAGAAAGTTCATTTAAGTGGAGAAAGATATAAGAAGGTAAGTTTTGTTTTGTTTTTATACATAGAGCGTCATATTTACGTAGCTAGCGTTAGCATGTTTGATCAAAGAGCTTGCAAGAGCCATTGTGCACCTAAATGTAACTCTTGACATAATATAGATATAGTATAGAACCGGGACGCCCCTCCCTACACGCAGATCACAGACTGGGTGGGGTCTCACGCCCTCACCTCGTGGATGGGACCTCAACTGAGTCGCAAATGCGATGCGGTGATAAAAAGGAAATCAAATGTAAAAAGTTGAATTAAAATATTAAAACAGCAACACAACATTATTCCCACATTAAAAGACAGTCTGAAGAGGTGTGTTTTGAAGGTGGGGGGGGTCGGTGCAGTCTCTGATGTTTAATGGGAGTGAGTTCCAGAGGGAGGGGGCAGCAATGGAGAAAGCGCTGTCCCCCCAGGTTCGGTGCTTGGTTTGTGGGGGGATAGACAGGAGGTTGGCTTCTGATGAGTTAATTGAAAGACCGTTCTTTAATACTATTATAATATTTAGGTAGCTGAAAAATATCCACTCTTTTTGACTTAACCTAGCTGTCCTACATTTTATTTCTCCACAGATGTACTGTCCATTCTGTGGTTCCAGCGTGACATCTTCGCATGGCTTTTGTGGTGTCTGTGGCAGAGACATCACATTTCTAAAAGATGTGGCTAACAAAGTCCCTGAGGAGATGCCCACCACTAGTGCGCATCTAAGTGCACAGCCTAGCACCAGTGCAGGTAAATAGGTTGTTCGTTTTATTACCAAACAATAAGTATTTATTTAAAAGTTCGAATTCTGTTATTATACAAATACATCTCTAAACTATGTGACTTACCTAATGTTGAATGTGTTATAAGATGTTCCTCAGAAGGGATTGAGGATGAGACTCCTATTGAACATAATGAAGAGTAATGAATGTTTTATTCCTGTTTTTTTTGTAGCAGGAAGCTCAGCTGTAGAGTCCTTTCAGAAATATAGGGAAATAAAAAAGAGGGAGACCTTTTTTACAAAGGGACGGCATAACTCCAAAAATAAACAGAAATTGGTGAAGGTATGCAACGTTTTCTGTTATGAATACATCTGTCATTCAAATCTGCTCACCACACTCATATAATGTCCGAAAAAATGTTTTATTCATTTGCATATTATTGTCTTTTTGCAGATTTCTGTTGGAGTAATGAGGAGGATGGATGGCTGCCTTAAACCTTTGAGAGGGAGGTCACTTCCCCTTAATGTCGAACCTCAATGGGCATGTGAAGAACTGTTGGCTGCTGCCATAAAAAAGCAGAAAGCCTTTAACCAGGACTTGGAAGATGGTGCCCATGTCTTGTTGTACCCTGATGCGAGGGTGATAACAAATATCCCCGGAACGGACACCCCTTTCACAGTACAGATGTACAAAGAGGCCATTGGAAAGCCCTACCAACGAATTACGTTGTACATCTGTACTCTTGAAGCCGTTGAAAACAGTTGTAAGTGCTTCTGACATATATTCCCCCTTGTTTAAAGCACTAAACTGTATAATAGTTCAAATGTAAACATAACAGTTGTTCTGTCTATATTTCTTAACACAATTCATTCCACCCATCATTCCTTTCTCTTCGTGGTTGAACTTATGACGTCAAATGGTCTTTTATGAATAGTGGCAGAAGAAATGGAATTTAAGTATCAACAAAAGCTTCCAAACTTTCCTTCTGTTCAAACTGTTATAAATTCCCTCTTAAGGATTGTAATTCTAAATTAACCTTTTTTCTCACAACAATGTTGGTTTGTTGTGCCCTAAATCCTAATGTGAGAGTGAAAAAGACGGTCAACAATATAATGTACATTTCACAAACATTTTGTGTTTCGATTGAATCCTTTCTGATTGATGTCAATCCAATAATTCAGGATTCAAACCAACATTTGATGATAGGTACAGACGTAGGGGAACAATTATTTGTATAGTATTAATCATGACACTTTTATTTTCTTAGGTTACACTGGAACAACCTCTTCAAGTGACGAGGACAGTGTGGTTTTTGCAAAGTTGCCATCTGGAGACAGTCTTGCTGACAGTTTGGATCTATCGTGGCATTTATTCTTAATTAAAGTGAATTTATTTTATTTCAGTCAGTCATTTGTGTGTTGTATGCAGGTGTGGGACTTTCCAAATGAACAGAGCACTCCCAGAATGGACAACAGTTTGCCAGGGTCAAATAAAACATTGTCAACATGTTATTTTGTGCCACAAGAAGCAGAATGTTTTAACAGTACAGTAGTTTGAATATATTTTTTGTTTACCTTTATCAGACCTCTCAGGCACCCACAACCAGCATCTGATCGGGTAAGACTAATTACAAATGTAATTATACCATGTAGGTTTGAATTTGTGAACATTAAATCAATAAATACCTTTGTGTGCTAATGACACTGTCATTAGATCAACTGCATCATTATTTATTGGGTAAAAGTAGGATGGAGAACCAACCCCATTCCAGGAAGAGGTCCAGTCTGCCCCGGGTCAGAACACCTTCTATAGGTAAACGATGTTGACAGTTGCATCGTGACACAGTTGTTTGGTGTGTATTTTTATTTGTACATTTGGTTGTTTGCATAGCCTCCAATCACAGTGGGTAATATTGCCAGGAAGCTGAACAATTATACTTTCATACATTTCCAAAGGACACCCACAACATCTTAGTGAAGACGATACAAAAAACACCCACAAATATTTGTCAAAGGTCAGATATTGTTTGTTGCATCCATTTCAAATGTTTACAAGGATTGTGCAGGAGTATGACAAAGTGCTGTTGTCAGTTTAGAACCCAATGTATTAAAAAAACCAGGAAGAGGATCGACATCCTTTTGCAAATATGACTGTCATGCATATATTATGTATTTGAAAGTCATTATTCAACTGTCTTCTCACTGCAGCAACTACACAACTGTGTATGCACTCCAGAAGAGGAAACGGAGCAAACTGCAGAGGAAATGTATTAAATGTTACTTTTATCACTTGATTTTTTTATTCTATACTGTAAATCTTATTATAGCTTCATCATTTAATATTACAATACATCACTTTGTCTTTCCCAGCACAGAATACCTGACTGCGGCACACATTGTTGCAGAACTCTCTGCAAAAATTAAAAATACCTCTTGCAGCAGGTTCAATATTAATAGAGCCAATGTGTGGGATGGAGCAATCCGCGGCTTCAAAGGGGCCTCATTCGACCCCTCTCATCAGATGCAGGTTAAGTTTACTGATGATGAGGGACAAACTGAGGATGGAGTGGACACTGGTGGTCCCAAGCGTGAGTTCCTGACCCTCCTAATGGAATGCCTGAGAATGAGAAGAATATTTGATGGTCCACAGGACAGGAAATTCCTCAAGTTCGACAATGCAGGTAATGATGTTCGCAAATCTGTCTTATGTTCAATACTGTACTGTAAATATAGGAGCTGCTTATGGGTTTTGCAGCTTGATTTACGTGACAATTACATTATCTTATACTGTATATCTTTATGATAACGTGGCAACTGTTGGTTAACGTGATAATAATTTAACAAAAAATATCAACAGCTGCAAAAGATGACGAATACTTTCATGCTGGGAGGATGATTGCAACTTCTATAGTTCAAAAACACAAGGAGAAAAAGAAGAAAACATGTCATGGCTCACTGTCTTAAAATCTGATTCTAAATGTATAATGTTCTTTATAAAGATATAACTAATACACAATTATGAATGTATAATATAAGCTGTTTTGTGTATTTAATCATGCGTTGGTCTACAATTTAATGATGGCTTCTACATATTTCACATAAACAGACAATGAAAAAATGTGTCCTTCATGCTGATAACTAGTGTATGCATCTGCCAATTAGCATTCTAAACAGAGCAGTGTGTTGAATCCTTATTTCTTGCATTTGAAACAGATACAATACAAAAAGTGAACTTACTGTTGTGTTCAACTTCTGCCAAAAACTGTACATGTTTGCCACAGGAGCCACAGAGCACTTGAACTGTCCCCAGATGCTGGCCACAGAAAGGACAAAACATGGCAGCCTGAAAAGACATACATTGATGTAGTAAATCCATGTAATCAAGTCAATCAAAAACACATAGTCTAAATAGTGGTTAGCTAAATAAATAGATACATCATGTTCACCGTTGAATCTGTGATTTGTCTCTCTCCTTGAATGTCTAATGCACACTACTATCCTGTCATTACTTTGTCCCTCTTCACATTTTGTCACTTTCTCTCTCTCTTTTTCTCAATTCAATTCAATAGCTTTATTAGCATGACCATAGTTACAGGCAATTGCTAAAGCTCTGTATAGTTGCAACATCTATACACAAATACATAAATATAAACAAACTGCTAAGAATTCAAATGTCCTTTTTCCGCGGTACTCACTATGGCCCGTGTTATTTGCCTGCACTTGATTTGTCATCTCTTTACAATGTTCTTCCCTCACTTTCTCTTCTCTTCACGTGAAGCTCTCCTCCCTCAGCTGGTGTAGTAGTTAGGCACGCTAACGCTAGCTATATAAATATGACGCTCTATGTATAAAAAAACAAAACTTACCTTCTTATATCTTTCTCCACTTAAATTAACTTTCTTTCCTCTTGTTCGTTCTCTCTATGTCTGGTCATACATCGATCTGTTCCACGTAGCGAGCCCCCTAGAGGCCTGAAGCACTTCCGGAATGTTTTTTTTTTGTAATGTGTTTTTTCGGTTGTATGTGCTTTTGACTTTGCATATCGTTTTTGTATTTGCAGCGTTTTTCTGTTGCGTTTGTTTTCGGGGTTTGTGTGTTGTAGGTTTAGCTTGCATCATTTCTGTAAATGCAGCGTTTTTCTGTTGTATGTGTTTTCAGGGTTTGTTGGTTTTTCATTTCATTATTTGCAGGTGTTTCCTGCTTATGTGTGTGTTTTTGGCCGTTGTTTAGCGTTTGCACCTGCCGGCCACCGTACACTTGGCATAAACTATTTTAGTTCATCAATTAGAACGGGAGAATTAAAATAATGATTTGTGGTAATCAAAAACAATGTATTTTTAAAGAAACACTCAGCCATGCATGAAATAACATAATAATACGGATAATTTGTTACCCATGTTGTGCCTTAGAAGTGTAGTGATACAAACATGATTTTTATTTTTTTAAAAGTAAGAAAGTTAAAATGAGAATTGGTGTTGATCAAAAACAGGTTAATTGAGGAATTCCTGGAAGTAATTTATTGCAAAGATATTTACAATTTAAACTAATTTGGGTAACTTTTGACACATGTTGGTTGTGTAACAAAGGGTTACCATGACAGCTGTGATGTTCACTCTTTTGACAGAGCACCAGTGGACAGTGAAGACTATGGAACAGAACATGTGATGGCTTTGTGTGGAAAGCTGCTGAAGCCAGCCAGTGACTCCTCATCAGTCTCTCCAGGCAGCACCCAGCTATTCTTCCATCTTGCAGATGAAAAGACTTTGATATGTGAGTAATAACTAACTTGTGTCTAACATAATATTGAATGTCAGTGCTTCCCCTAGGTTTACTGCTGATATATTCTTTAAATCCTCTGGAGCAGGGAGAGGAGCTGTGGATTATTGTTATTGATTAATGCATCAGTGTTTCTTAGCATCAAAAACACTAAACTCAACTTAAAATGAAAGCGTTTAGTTTATTTAATAAAAGAGCTCATGTTCAATGTGAAAAGTGACCGTAGATATAGATTAGTTGCAATTTGGTGCTATATATATTTTTTTTTAAATAATAATTAAAAAAAATATATGGATTAGGGTTAACCCTATCCAGTGGTTAGTTTTAGGGTAAGCTCCACTGTTTTTTTATTTTATGTATTCACTTTAAGAGAAAGGAATTTCAGAAACAATAGTTATCACTTCACTTCCTCCTCCAGCACCTGGACACAGCAGGAACCTACGCCAGGATCCTGTTTGTGGTCTTCAGCTCCGCCTTCAACACCATCATCCCGGCTCTGCTGCAGGACAAGTTCTCCCAGCTGCACGTGCCCGACTCCACCTGCAGGTGGATCACAGACTTCCTGTCTGACAGGAAGCAGCACGTGAGGCTGGGGAAACACCTCTCTGACTCCCGGACCATCAGCATTGGTTCCCCTCAAGGCTGCATTCTTTCCCCTCTGCTCTTCTCCCCTCTGCTCTTCTCCCCTCTGCTCTTCTCCCCTCTGCTCTTCTCCCCTCTGCTCTTCTCCCTGTACACCAACAGCTGCACCTCCAGTCACCAGTCTGTCAAGCTACTGAAGTTTGACACCACCCTCATCGGACTCATCTCTGGTGGGGACAAGTCTGCCTACAGGTGGGAGATGGACCATCTGGTGACCTGGTGTAGGGATAACCACCTGGAGCTCAACGCTCTCAAGACAGTGGAGATGGTTGTGGGCTTTAGGAAGAACGCAGCCCCACCCGCCCCCATCACTCTGTGTGACTCCCCAGTAACTGATGTGGAGTCTTTCCGCTTCCTGGGCACCATCATCGCCCAGGACTTCAAACGGGAGCAGAACATCTGCTCCCTCACCAAAAAAGTACAGCTTTTCTCTCCATCAGGACCAGAACCTCTCTCTCCATCAGGACCAAAACCTCTCTCCATCAGGACCAAAACCTCTCTCCATCAGGACCAAAACCTTTCTCCATCAGGACCAAAACCTCTCTCCATCAGGACCAAAACCTCTCTCCATCAGGACCAGAACCTCTCTCTCCATCAGGACCAGAACCTCTCTCTCCATCAGGACCAGAACCTCTCTCTCCATCAGGACCAGAACCTCTCTCCATCAGGACCAAAAGCTCTCGGCACCTCAACAAGGCCCGCCCCCCCCCTACTGACACTTTACCTCAGCCACAACGCAGACTCTATGCATTACTTAATGGAGATCACAGGATGGTAAATAATGCAATGTTTAAATATTGCTTACTGCACATATTTTATATTCTATAATTTATTGCATTCTATTTCGATGTAAATTACTGCTTTATTTTATTGCTATCTTACTATATTTTTATTACAGTGTTCTTAATATAGTTCGCTATCTGTGTACTTTTCTTAATTTTAGTTTTTTATTTGTATGTATGCACCACGACACCTAGTGAAATTCCTCGTACGTGTGAACCTACCTGGCAATAAACCCGTTTCTGATTCTGATCTTTTTGTCCTCTAGGTTGCACTGCCACGTCTACAGTAGCGCAGAATGGACAGAGGAAACATGATTGGGCCTCAAGTTTTTTGCAGCCAATTCTCCTACAGACTTGGGATAGGAGGGTGAGTGAACAAGTTATCCATTGGTTGGAACCTACATCCCCATTGTTAGACGTACTAAATCCTGCACACTGCTCCTTCAAATTGACAATGTGAACATATGTCGCCATTTTGTAAATCTTGTTATTTTCATTTGAGAATGTTTCAAAGTACTCTTAAAAAAATCAACTTACTTTTTGTTTCTACTGTTTATAAGTATGATGTTTAAATTAGGGCTGTCAAGTTAACGCGTTAATAACGCGTTAACGCAAAAAAAATTAACGCCACTAATTATTTTGACGCGATTAACGCATGTGTGTTTTTTTTCCTCGACCGCCCCGTAGTTTCAGAGCGCATCGAGTTTAAAATACCATCTACAAGCTGATGCTGACAGCCCCGCTCCTGCCGCCCGCTTGTGGCAGACCACACTTCCACGCTCACCGGCAGGCACCGACTGGCTATTGGGAGGACCGGGAGGGTGTGTGTATGTGTGGCCCGAGCGAGCGAGACAGAGACCTTGCGTGCATTGTTGTTGTTAGCATCTGGTGCTAGCTAGCTGCGCTAACGGATCTAAGGAGCTGTTTAAATGAAAACAGAGGAGCGACATTTCGCCACAACTGCGCCGAGCACTTGACTTTATGCAGGAAGCCAGACAGTGGGACATTGTACGAAAAGTCAGCACACTCAGCACGGATAGTGCGCGCAACATGATCGCAGCGTCCAGCCAGCTCCCGTTCGAGCATAGCCTTGAGTTGCACATAGCTCCAACGATCCATCACATACACACACACACACACTTTGTATTGTATTATTGTATGAGAGAGGTTCCAGGTTGAATTGAGGCGAATATTTGTAATGTTCAGAGGTTGTTGTGTTTAATATTCATGAGGATATTTGACATTGTTCAAATGATAATAAACATTAGCATAAAGCATATTTGTCCACTCATATGTTGATAAGAGTATTAAAAACTTGAAAAATATTCCTCTTAGGTACATTTAGAACGGATACAAAATGTGCCATTAATTTGCGATTAATCGCGATTAACTATGGACAATCATGCGATTAAATATTTTAATCGACTGACAGCCCTAGTTTAAATATGAAATGCTGTATTAATTAGTTGTACTATAATTTTTCTATATATATAAGATTTCAGAGTAATTGTTTCCGACAGAACATTTTGTGATGTCATTTTGTTGAACCTGTTTGTTTGGAAAATGTTAGAAAAACCTGTAAAATAACAGTATTCTAGCTGTAGAACTTTAGGTTCTGTATTTATTTTAGTGTTTGATCATATAAATCTAATTTTTAAAAAAATCTAAAAAACTGTTTTTCTCATCAGAACTTTATTTAAGGTATTTGAATGTAACATTTTAAGACAATGGATTTTGAAAAGAGAGGAAAGTGTTTTCCTGTCAAATCTTTAACCCTTTATGGGGCGAGGAACCATATTTGATCACTTCCGCACACACCAAACATAGCGTCACTGCTGCAACTCAGTGAGGTCGAGAAGCATATGGTTTTCTCCCAGCCAATCAGCGAAGATAACTCTACGCCACAAAGCCCGCCATTGGGGAATTTGACCAATCAGCAGAGGCCTGAAACGTTTCAAACTTCCGGTTTTCTCGGAATCCGGAAAAAGGCAATTTTGCGGCTCCGTTCATTCACGGAATTCTGTGAAACGACTAAACTAACCATGGTAAGTTGACGAAACTCACACATTGTATGGTTGAATAGTTGTGCAAGGTTAGGACATTTGTGTTGTTAGCGGAAAAGTGAGTGAAATTAGTGAAAATACGGCATGAAAAGTTCGGGCACCATATTTGATCATACGCCCCGTTCAGGTAAACACTGGAGTTAGTAGGATATGACCATATTTGGACATACACCCGATCCGTCTAGTAAGCGATACATAGTATATTTTAATAACAAATAAGGCAATACAATTTAGGATTTTATATTATAATGTTGCCAAAGGTTTGTATAACACTATACAGTGATTCAGTGAAAAGTTTAACCAATTTCTAGAAATGTTAAAGCCATAAATAGTGAATATGATATTCTATTTTGTCAGTTTTATGACCTTATAGCAGTTGTTTTAGTTTTTTTTGCATGTCTTTAATTTGTAGCAACTGTCTACCCGATGCGGAAGCCATACATAGCACATTTTAATTACAAATAAGGCAATACAATTTAGGATTTTATGTTATAATGTTGCCAAAGGTTTGTATAACACAGTGATTCAGTGAAAAGTTTAACCAATTTCTAGACATTTTCAAGCCATAAATAGTGAATGATATTCTATTTAAAGGTGGGGTAGGTAAGTTTGAGAAACCGGCTCCAGATACACTTTTTGTTATATTCCATGGAATGCTCTTAACATCCCGATAGCAATGAATATCTGAAGTGCTTTGACAAAAAATCCATTAAAAAATTTCATCTGTGGAAGCCGTAATACTGTAAAAAGTACAACCAATCCGTTTAGCCGGGCCGGCTAAACGGATTGGATTGCCGCCTTGTCTGTCAGCCTTCCATCTCGTGCACGCACAAATGTATCTCGTGCCGTCATTGGGCGTGCATTGCAGCAGTACTTCAATGACTCGCCAGCAACAGACGGCCACTTTCACCAGTCTGCTGACGTCATGTGCACGTTCATGTGTGTTGGAGGAGGTGCTCTGTAAGGAAGTCTGAAGGAAGGGGCGGATTCTTTTCGGCTGTGTACTTTCACATTTTAGTGCACTCGAGCCGGTTTTTTAAACTTACCTACCCCACCTTTAATCTATTTTGTCAGTTGTATGACCTTATAACAGTTTTGTTGCATGTGTTTAATTTTTAGCAACTGTCCACTCGGATGTTTTATTCCAAGAGAAAGGATATTGTCATTGTGCCAGCACACCCTGCCATCAGTGACGATGACGAGGAGGAAGATGACGATGTGGAAGACCCTGACTTTGTCCCACCCACTCACAACCTCGACATTCCAGGCCCACGTGACATGGGCCCCTCTGCCAAGAGGAGGTCCATGCAGCCTGCAGTGCTCCAGGTCGATGACGATGATGATGACGACGACGACGACGACGACGATGGTGACAATGAGCAGCCAGCACTACAAGCCAAGAGGCCCACCAAACCCAGGAAGTCAGCAGCAAGGCCAACCACCTGGCACAAAGCTGACCTGGAAAACACAGAACTGCCGGAATACCAGCACTCTCCCCCTGACTACATTGAAACCTCTTTTCAGTACTTCACAAGGTACTTTGGCCCCGAAATTGTCACTCATATCACCTACCAAACTAATTTGTACGCCAATCAAAAGGACATTAACACCACTTTCACCACCAATGAGAATGAGATAATGACATTTCTGTCCATCCTGATGTATATGGAGATTTCAGAGCTCCCATCTGTTGAAGATTACTGGGCCATGGAGACCAGAGTCCCTCAAGTTGCCAACCTGATGTCCTCAAAGAGGTTCAGGCTGCTGAAAAGGGTTTTCCATTTCAATGACAACACTGAGCTCCCTGGTTCCATTGACCGCTTCTTCAAAATCCGGCCACTGTTCATTTTCCTCAATTCTGCCTTCAGGCGTGAGCCGCAGACCCCCAAACAGTCTGTGGATGAGGTGATGGTTGCCTACAAAGGGAAGACAGCCGGCAACCTGAGGCAGTATATAAAGACCAAGCCAGACAAGTGGGGTTTTAAATTGTTTTCCAGGGCCTCTGCGGATGGCTTCATCCACGACATGGTGCTCTACCAGGGGAAGACTACTCTGGAGGCCCACGGTGTCCCCCTGACACCTGAACAACAAGCCATGGGTGCCACCAGCCAGATTGTCTCTGTCCTGGCAAGTACCATGTCCTCCCCCAGCACCACAGCCATCTTTGCAGATAACTTTTTCACCAGCCTGGAGCTAGTGCGGTACCTCCGAGACCAGAACTGCAGGTATACAGGGACAGCCAGGGACAATAAAATTGGAAAGCCCCCGCTCAAGTCCATCAAGGGAATGGAGAAAAAGGCTGTCCCTCGTGGAACATGTGACTACATCATGAGTGATGTTGGGATCCTGGCTGTCAGGTGGAAGGACAACAGAACAGTATCTCTGCTGTCAACAGACATGGGGGTGGAGCCTATATCCTCAGTCATCAGGTACTGCAGTGAGACGAAGACGAAGGAGCCGGTGAGCTGTCCAGCTGTCATCCGGACCTACAATGCCAACATGGGGGGCATTGATAAGAGTGACATGTTGGTCCACCTCTACCGCACCCCCGTGAAGTCCAAGAGGTGGTACAAGCGTATGTTTGCATACGCCATTGATGTCAGCCTCACAAATGCCTGGATCATGTACAGGCGAGACCCTTGGTGTGAATGGCGTGCCTCTGAAAAGCTTCAGAATTCAGGTGTTCAGGGCTGCCAGCAACCAGTGGCCAGTCAAGTCTAGCTCCCGAAGAAGCTCATCTTCATTGGTTGAGAGCGTGACCGTTGCTGACCCCCAGCCTGTCCGTGGACACCGCAGCCACACCCCAAATGTGGCTGTGTGGTTTGATCCCTCCCTCTTCCATGCCCCTGTACATGCCAATCGCCTGACCTGCAAGTACTGCAGCAGGAAAGGCAACATTGTAAGGTCAAATGTGGTCTGCAGGGTCTGCAAGGTCCACCTCTGCATGAATGTGTAACTGTTTTGTCAGTTACCATGAGGAATTTGACTAATTTCTCATGTTATGTATGTTTTGTTAGTTAGCTTAGTTTTCAGGGACCATGTTAAAAAGGAACAGAATATAGCAGTTTGCTAATTTCCATCTGCAGTCCCTGGGCAGGTCAACATTATATACAAACATATTTCATACCCCTGCACTAAAACATTTACATTACAAATGTGTATTTCATACCCTTGCACTAAAACGTATACATTACAGTTATTTATTTCATACCCTTGCACTAAAACGTTTACATTACAAATTTGTATTTCATACCCTTGCACTAAAACGTTTACATAATTTATATTATATTTCATACCCCACATAAGAAATGACTCTACACTCTAGTGTTGCACGGTGTACCGATACTTGAAAGGTACTGCGATACCCTGCCGTTACAAACGGTACGATTCCGCCGTTTCATTGGTATCGGTACTTTAAGAATGACGGGGAAAAGTACTCCGGTGAGAAAGCGCCGTTTTAATAAAGACCCGTGTGTGTTCTAGCTGCCAGAGCATGTGAGAAAACGAGAAGCATGGCTGCAAGTGGGAGTGCAACTGCCGCTGCGCCTCGGCTTGTTGACAAAAAAGACGCCAGAAGCGAAATTTGGAAGTATTTGAGCTATATCTCTGACAGTGAGGGCAAGCCTACGGACACCACGAGGCCTGTCTGTAAGACATGTTTTAGATCCCTGCAAACCAAGGGAGCCAACACATCAAACTTGGCTAAGCACCTCGCCAACCGGCATCCAGACAGGTTAGCGAATGTGATAGATAACATAGTTACATCATGCTCAAGCCCATGCCCTCAAATCTAAGTCAAACCAGTGTAATTTATTTTGTGACAAACAAGGCAATTAATGGCAATGATAACTGTCTAATATGGCTATCTTTTTAGCTAACTTACCAATGTGGCTAACATCTGCAATATATATTTTGTTAATAATTATTTATATTACTGTACTATTACATGTTAATAAAATATTAAAACAATTATATTTTATAAAATAAAAAAGTTGTTTGAGATGATGCTGAATTTTATTTAATACGAATTCTTATCATTTATTTTGTTTATTGTTCTCATTGTTTAAAAGTTTGTGTTATGGTTATGGTTCTGGTGTGAAATAAAGCACAATAATTACATTTAAGACTGTTTCCCTTTTTTTAAGAAAAGTATCGAAAAAGAATCGGAATCGCAATTCTTGACTTGGTATCGGTATCGAAACCAAAATGTTGGTATCGTGACAACACTACTACACTCTTTTTATATTGTATTTAAGTGCATAGTTATGTTCTAATGTTCTAAAATAAATATTCCTTTCACCCTTATGTATTTGTCATGCTTTTTTTTTTTTTTTACCACAAACGGGCAAGGAACCATATATGATCACTTCATTGACCTTGATTTTTTTATATGAAAATTAAATATTTTGGAAAATGTCATAAAAGTAAAACAGTATTGTTATATCCTCCAATAACACTAGGGTTGCAATTTAGAATTTCAATGAATAAAGGGTTAAGGACAATTCCTGTATATTAATTGCTTTTGCACTTTATTTCAGTTAAAGTATTTTTACTTTAATGTTATGGTTTTTGTTTGAGTGAAACGTCACGGGGTTAAGGGATAGTGGATAGGAGAATTCAAAAGGACTTAGGAGAAGAGACTGGTACTTTAGAGAATCCGAATGCACTTTCACTATCTGACGTGTTTATGATGCGCCAGCGGACGTCATGAATGTGCGTCTGCTGCTGTGGGGAAACTATGGAAACTACAGTTTTCTATAGCGGACTACAACATGGATGTATAATAAGAAGGAGGGACTACTGTAAACTCATCTAGAGACTCTGCACCGTGCTCTGATGCTGTTGCTTTATGCTTTATGAACGTGGACAACAGAGAAACATATTCTTCATGACCAAAGTTGGAATTGAAATAAAAAAGGAAAGTGAAACTTATGCTCGTCACCCTCTCCCTCCGGTCCACATTAATACAAATGATCCCAATACGTATGATTGTATGAACTATGAAAATATCTTAAAATCAATACAAATGTATTTATTATAAACGTTAGTCCTTAACATCTATCCCTGTGTACATCACCATTCAAACATCTTTTAAAAGTTGAACAAACTCCACACAGCTCAGTAAAGACTGTGAAATGTTGACTTTATTTGATCATTTCAGTAAAAACTAAAGTTAATATTTCTCTTTTTGATTATAATACTGACGAACGTTCAGAACAAAGCACTTTGGCAACTTACCACATACGTTTTTAAATGCTTAATAAGCACCGTAACGTTCATGATATAATTTCTCGGTCATAATCGGTTGTTTCCGTGAACGGCCGACTGTTGAGTGACGGCAAATGCTGCGGCTGCAATGCATTGTGGGGCAGCATTTTCTCCTCTCCTTTCGTCAAGGGAGGTCCAGTGGTTCCTAAGCTAAAGGAGGTTATAAAGGAAGTTTGAAACCTCCTTTCCTTTCATTTGGAGAATTGGAACGGCACTTAACATGGCTGCCACTGACGTACTTCCGGGTCATTTCACTTGGTTAGGAAGCTAAGCTAAATGGACTATTGGAACGCAACCATAGCCTACAGCAGGAGAACACGCCGTCCTCCGCGGAGAATAAACAGAAGGACAACCATGCTCCGGGGTCTTCTTCGCTGCTTGTGGTGTATTTTGTGGCGGCAGCAGCGCCACTTACAGGCCTGGCATATGTACTACAGCGTTTCCAGCATTTCCAGCGGTCCAGTGTGAACGGACACGTTAATGAATCGAATGCGTGTGAACTGAAGACTTTTTTGCGTTTGCGTATGCGTTTTACTGTATGCGTCCTCGTGGGGCCGGGGTCTAAGCCAAACTATATCCGGTCACAGAGATCTGCTATTTTAAAGTAAGGTCAACACATATCGACCCTAAATATAGTCTATATTAAGAACGAGAAAAGTCTTAACATATATATCGTTTTTTGTAAACATATGACAAATGTGTGAGGGTGATGACGTCAGAGCATCGTCCTATGTGCCGGGCTTATCCCCGGACAGCCCCAGCCCAATTTAACCCCTGGGTATTTGTGAGGGAGCTCCTATATGGCATTACCCCGCTGAAGCTCACCAAAGTTTAATATATTTCATAGTTCAAAGTTTTGTCAATTGTTTTGTTTATTGGTCAAATACTGGTTTCTAATGGTTTCTGAGGAGTTTTACTGGAATGAAAGAGTACAGAAGCAACAAAGCAGCATACTGCATTAAACCTGACCTTCACAGAGAGGTTGAAGTTCATGTGTAGAGGAGGCTTCAGTAGTCTGTCTGCACTCTGTTTAGTTGTGCTATCTTACAATCAATATAGTAAAGTGTGTCGCCAATGTAACCGGTTAGAACTCGAAGTTGCGATGAGGTCTTAAAATGTATGAAAAGGGTCTTAAAAAGGTATTAAATTTGACTTCAGGATTCCTGCATATACCCTGTTATTGTAATTAGGGTATTTAACTGTAATTTGACAGTAAGTTTTTGGAAGCACCAGCTGCCAGATTTTTACCGTTTTTTTTACAGTGTAGCTTTCAGCCACATGTTGATATGTCTGGCTGGTACACAGAGAATCACCCATAGATAAAATCATTAGCAGACATTTACAGCACAACATGTCATAACTTAACAGAATTGCAGGACTGTTTCTTTGAGTACATTGCACAGTGTTTGTTTGCCGTTCATGCTGTCAGGAATTAACACAGCTTTGAGGAAATCATTTGAAAGTAACTGCTATTGACACGCAACACTGAACACGGGAGCATTGTTCATATTCTTGCTCACACAGAAGCCTTTTCTGATCTAGTACAACCTCTCAGTATTTTCCCCTTTACTCAGGAAGAGTCCGATTTCCTGCAGGAACTCGAGGGCTTTGCCACTTTTACGTAAACGTGTTGTTTTGGGGCATTTTGCTGTAACAACTGATGCTGTTATTTTTCCAGGCAGGACAGCCTCAGAGGTAAATGACCGTCTGATTTATAGGTGTTTCTGACCGACGCAGAAACAGTCCTCTTCTGGTTGAATGAGCAGACGTTACTGCGCCCAGCAGGGACAAGCCTCCACCTAGTGCTGTGAAGACAAACCATATAACTACTCCAACTGCAAAGAGGTAAATACATGTGAACTCAAAGAAAAATACTCACTGACAACAGGCTGTTGCAAACACTGTATGAATAAAAAGAGAATTTAAAGCCCATGGTCAAAGTTACAACTGTGTTCAATGTGTTTGTGCCACTGACCCACTGTGTTTGACCTTCTCTTTCTACACTGCTATTCAGAAATATCCATTTATTTTCCCTATGACAACATTCATTCAGGTATATCTGAAGATTTTTGACAAAGAATTACTTTTGAAATGTTCCACTTCCCCTGGCTAATGTTTGATTACTAACAGGAAATAATGATCACTGTGCATTTTAACAATGATAACTTCATAGTGAGTTAATGACTGACATTTTGTGTATTGAAAAGGTTTCAACAGTGCTGATGAATAAAAAGATAATTTAAAGCCCATGGTCAAAGTTACAACTGTGTTCAATGTGTTTGTGCCACTGACCCACTGTGTTTGACCTTCTCTTTCTACACTGCTATTCAGAAATATCCATTTATTTTCCCTATGACAACAGTCATTCAGGTATATCTGAAGATTTTTGACAAAGAATTACTTTTGAAATGTTCCACTTCCCCTGGCTAATGTTTGATTACTAACAGGAAATAATGATCACTGTGCATTTTAACAATGATAACTTCATAGTGAGTTAATGACTGACATTTTGTGTATTGAAAAGGTTTCAACAGTGCTGATTAAACCTTGAAGTGTTTACTGCTTTTACCAATATTTTCAAAAAAAAATTATACATCTATACATGCTTTTCTGCTAATGTATGATTGTCTGCCACAGAATAGATGTGTGTGCACTCCAATCTCTTATTTAGCCATTTACTCAAGAGTTTCTTTTCAGCATAAAATCAAGAAAGGCCTCTCAAACAGGTTTTATAGAAGAAATACAAAAGATTATGTTGGATGCACATCTCCTCAGAGTCTCATTCATGTATTAAAGAAGGCTCATGCCTCACTTGCATGAGGAACATATATATATTTAAACTAATTTCTGTAACCTGCTATGACCATGTTCGGCCCTTTATGATGAATTATTGATTTCCTTGATGTAGGCTACTCAGTGATGCCGACTTTAGCCCAGCGTTATAATCGAGCACGAGGCCATCTTAGGGGACTCAAACACCTTGACTGGTAAAGAATGAGATTGCTCACCAGACCAACTACCCTAAGCTGCAAAGTCTAGCTCAGAGTTTGGGTTGTGCTTACTGTGACAAGCTGAAGGTAAACCTAATATCATTTTGATACTTGTGAAACTCAGAACTTTTACCACAGTTCTAGAGAAATGTTATTTTAACAACTTTTCGCCGGTCGATTTAAGAAACACAGAACAGTGGATGAAAAGTGGATCTA